TGTGAACTAGATACTGTATGCATCCACAAAACCTATGGGAGTCAATGATAGATTGTATCTCATATTCCTCATGGTTGTCGACCTGAATCGGGCGAGGGCGTTGTACTGAGGTGGTATAGCGGTTACACACTTAGTATGGCTTTTAGGGGAACCCCACTTACTTTTTCCCCATTTTTGGGAGGTCCTACTGGCTTTTAGGGGGAACCAGGGCCTGGTATGGTTTTTAGGTGGAACCCCACACACTGGTACTTTTTGAAAAAAATGTTTTCACCGATTCATGTCTCTCAAAGCAGTACCCGAGTCCCGATACCCATTTTTATGGCCAATAACTTGCATATAAGCCTTCAAAATGGCACTTTTGAATGTACAATTTCGAGTCCCATAGACTTGCATTGATTTAGAAGTTCGCAGTCAAACATTCCATAGGTTCGAATGTTCGCCTGCGAATGGAACACTGGAGTGTTCAGCCAATCACTAGTCAGGGGTTTGACCAGAGAAAATAAATTAATAATTGGTGAAGCCAAGAAAACATGGTAGAGGGCGCAGAGCTATGGGTCGAGACCACTGTAGACAGATTCTCTGGGTCCATTGAAAAGCAGATATCACATACCCCAAAAATGTAACCTGTTCATGATGAAACTTTTCCAACTTGCAATACAGGCTGTTCTCAGCAGAACCTCTGTAGCACACGGGAGATGACTGTGTGGTGGTTCTCTAGGGATTCTGAATATATGAGAATATAATCAAGGTAAACCACACATTGCTGCAGCACTATCTATGAACAAGCCTGCAGCTCCAGAATCAATTAGTGCCTGAGTGTTGGTGGAAAACTCAGACCAGGAAAGATTAACCGGAACTAGAGGCTTATCTTTAAGGATAGCTGGTGTAATGCAAGGCTGGACACAAAAACCAAGAGCAAGTCACACACATTGCACAGGTACGATCAAAACCAGCACTCACACCATAGTTTCTAAGCTTGTGAGGGACACACTACCAAGTGTAAAACTGCCCTGGAACATCATGCAGTATTCACTCAGCACCCCAAGAAATAACAGAATCCAACTGCAGTGTTCTTGCACTTTCAAAACCTCCACTTTTATTAACACACAACACCCAGGAGAATATTTCTTATGGTCATCACAATCTGCATAATAACACATATCAATAGTAATGTGAGTATTACAGCATGAAATAAACACATCTTTTGAGAGCGTCACAGCATAGAATTAATACATTAGCAAAGCTACGGGAAGAAGGGAAGGAAGAGACCTCATCAAAACCACAGTGCACAGGAGATCGTGGAGAAGCCTGGAGCACGACCGACTGTCCTTGAAGCTTCTGCAAAAATCTCAACATCAGAGTGTCCCCTCATGCATGCGATGGCTTCTGATCGCATCATCTCCAGGCCCTTCCTAAATACCCCCGCTCAGTGCTTCTGGCCACAATCCCAGATTGGGTGGCTCCTCACCCGCTCCAAGATGCTCTTTTTCAGATAACACTGAAAAGTTCTGTGAGGTAGCAAAGTCACACCCAATCACTTATCACTATCATGCCAACCAGCAGGCCTAATAAGCACATGATCAAACTCTTATCTACATACTGCCATCTAAGTTTTCTCTAAGTTAAACCTTATGGCAATAGGCCTGCCAGCCGGGGGCTAGATAAAGTAACAGAACTGCACAAACAAGTCTTATCTAATACAAGTGGCCTAATTCTAGCTATATATTGTGACTCTGTAAGTTTCCCTTAGCCTAGGAAATGACGTCACGTCATTACCCGTGCTTCTGGCATCTGGGCAGTGATGCTTTACTGTAAAAATCCCCGAGGAAACCGAGGGCCCAAAGCCAGCACATTTCATAGACATTACAGCTGGGGACGCATAGACGCCACCTAAGGTCTATATATTTATTTATTTTTTCAAACTGTCCATTTTGATTGTGAATGCCTGAATGGTCAGTTCGCTCCTGCTCAGCATGCTGCAATTTTCATTTCGGTGCACCACTAGTTTATACATGTCTGTGAGACTCTTACTTGTGGCACACCATGATAGGCATGGGTACAAGAAGGCTTTTGTTTTAGTTAAACACTTCCTTTAATCCACCCCCACTGTCAATGCAATCTGGTTACACACATTATATAATGTTTGGGGGTTCAAACAATTTTCTAGAAAAGAACCCTGATTTTCATATATGAAAGAAATGTCAGAATTGGACCGGTAAGGAAGTGGTTAAAGCCTTTACAGGTTATCAGTTTACAGTTTACTATGATTTATGGCTCTAGAATTATTGCTCTCACTCTGATATTCTCCACAGTACCATACATGTGTGGAGCCATTGATGTTTATATACATGTGCTTGCCCTACATAATGCTTTTTCTATAGTCATGAGCATGCTTTACATTTGTTTTTATAATTTTTATTTTAATTTTTAATTTTTATAATTGAGTGCCATTCAGTGTACAGATGTCAGTGTGCACTCAGTGTATAAAACTAATAGCAGTCGATGTACACATATCAGTGTTATACATAGGGAATATCAGTCAGTGTACACCTATCAGTGTTACACAAAGGGAATAGCAGTCAGTGTACAGATATCAGTGTTATTTACCACTGATATCTGTACACTGACTATTTCCTATATATATCACTACTGATACTGTGTATATATATATATATATATATATATATATATATATATATATATATATATATATATATATATATATATATATATATATATATATAAAAACACAGGTATGTGTACACTGACCGCTATTCCCTATATATAAACACTGATGTCTGTACACTGCGTGCTATTCCCTATATAAAACACTGATATCTGAACACTGAGTGGTACTCAGTGGATAGAGGTCAGTGATATATATATATATATATATATATATATACAGTTGCAAGAAAAAGTATCTGAACCCCTTGGGATTACGTGGAGTTTTGCATGAATTGGGCATAAAATGTGCTCTGAACGTCATCTAAGTCACAACAATAGAAGAACACAGTCTGCTGAACATAATACTACACAAACATTAGATGTTGCCATGGTTTAATTGCACATAACATGTAAACATTCACACTGCAGGGAGGAAAAAGTATGTGAGGCCCTAGCTTAATGACTTCTCCCAGAGCTAATTGGAGCCAGGAGTGAGCCAACCTTGACTCCAATCAGTGTGATGATATTGGATGTGTTGTTGACAGCTGTCCTGCCCTTAAAAAACACACACCTGTTTTCGGTTTACTGGTTTCAAGAAGCACTTGACGATGTGAACCATGCCTCACAGAAAAGAGCTCTCAGAAGACCTACGATCAAGAATTGTTGACTTGCATGAAGCTGGAAAGGGTTACCAAAGTATCTCCAAAAGCCTTGATGTTCATGTGTCCACGGTAAGATAGACTGTCTACAAATGGAGAAAGTTTAGCACTGTTGCTACTCTCCCTAGGCGTTGTCGTCCTGTAAAAATGACTGCAAGAGCACAGCGCAGAATGCTGCATGAGGTAAAGAAGAATCCCAGAGTGTCAGCTAAAGACCTACAGAAATCTTTGGCGCATGCTAACATTTTGTTGACACATCTACAAAAAGGAAAACATTAAACAAGAATGGAGTACATGGGAGGACACCATGGAGGAAGCCATTGCTGTCCAAAAAGAATATTGCAGCACGTTTGAAGTTTGCAAAAGAACACCTGGATGTTCCACAGCACTACTGGCAAAATATACTGTGGACAGATGAAACCAAGATTGAGTTGTTTGGGAAGAACACACAACACACACTATGTGTGGAGAAAAAAAGGCACAGCACACCAACATCAAAACCTCATCCCCACTGTAAAACATGGAGGAGGGAGCATCATGGTTTGGGGCTGCTTTGCTGCCTCAGGGCCTGGACGGATTGTTGTCATTGATGGGAAAATGAATTCCAGAGTTTATCAAGACATTTTGCAGGAAAACGTACGACCATCCGTCCGCCAACTGAAGCTCCGCAGAGGATGGGTGATGCAACAGGACAATGACCCAAAGCATACATGTCATTCAACAAAACAATGGCTGCAACAGCACAGAATACGCCTTCTGGAGTGGCCCAGTCAGAGTCCTGACCTCAACCCGATTGAAATGCTGTGGCATGACCTTAAGAGAGCGATTCACACCAGACATCCCAAGAATATTGCTACACTGAAACAGTTTTGTGAAGAGGAGTGGTCCAAAATTACTCCAGATCGTTGTGCAGGTCTGATCTGCAACTACAGGAAACGTTTGGTTGAGGTTATTGCTGCCAAAGGAGGGTCAACCAGTTATTAAGTCCAAAGGTTGACATACTTTTTCCTCCCTGCACTGTGAATGTTTACATGTTATGTGCAATTAAACCATGGCAACATCTAATGTTTGTGTAGTATTATGTTCAGCAGACTGTGTTCTTCTATTGTTGTGACTTAGATGACGTTCAGAGCACATTTTATGCCCAATTCATGCAAAACTCCACGTAATCCCAAGGGGTTCACATACTTTTTCTTGCAACTGTATATATTGAAAGGCACTCAGTGTACAGATATCAGTTTTATATATAGGGAATGACACTGAGTGTACAGATGTCAGTGTTATATAACGCTGATATCTGTACACTTACTGTTATTTCCTAAATATAACACTGATATCTGTACACTGAGTGCTATTCCCTATGTATAACACTGACATCTGCACATTGAGTGTATATAGCAGTGATGGCGAACCTTTTTGAGCCCGAGTGCCCAAACTGCAACCCAAAACCAACTTATTTCTTTCAAAGTGCCAACACTGCAATGAAACCTGAATATCGAGCTTTTGGTTTAGAAAAAACAACTCGTACAGTAGTGCAAACTAATTAACAGTACAGGGATGACCAGAGACTGCGGACAGTACAGGGATGACCAGAGACTGCAGACACAGTACAGGGATGACCAGAGACTGCAGACACAGTACAGGGATGACCAGAGACTGCAGACACAGTACAGGGATGACCAGAGACTGCGGACACAGTACAGGGATGACCAGAGACTGCGGACACAGTACAGGGATGACCAGAGACTGCGGACACAGTACAGGAGATGACCAGAGACTGCGGACATGGTACAGGAGATGACCAGAGACTGCGGACACGGTACAGGGATGACCAGAGACTGCGGACACAGTACAGGAATGACCAGAGACTGCAGACATAGTACAGGGGATGACCAGAGACTGCAGACACAGTACAGGGATGACCAGAGACTGCAGACACAGTACAGGGATGACCAGAGACTGCAGACACAGTACAGGGATGACCAGAGACTGCGCACACAGTACAGGGATGACCAGAGACTGCGGACACAGTACAGGGATGACCAGAGACTGCAGACACAGTACAGGAGATGACCAGAGACTGCGGACACAGTACAGGAGATGACCAGAGACTGCAGACACAGTACAGGAGATGACCAGAGACTGCGGACAGTACAGGGGATGACCAGAGACTGCGGACAGTACAGGGATGACCAGAGACTGCGGACACAGTACAGGGATGACCAGAGACTGCGGACAGTACAGGGATGACCAGAGACTGCGGACACAGTACAGGGATGACCAGAGACTGCGGACACAGTACAGGGATGACCAGAGACTGCGGACAGTACAGGGATGACCAGAGACTGCGGACAGTACAGGAGATGACCAGAGACTGCGGAAAGCACAGGGATGACCAGAGACTGCGGACAGTACAGATGACTGCTGACCTTTGGGGAGGGAGGGGGAGCGGGTACCTGAATTTGACAGGTACCCGCTCTTACTTCCGCAGAGTTTTTTTTTTTATCTTACCTGTTCCTTTATCCAGCCGCGTGCTGTCTTCCCGGCTTCTGTAGTGTGGGCGCTCGTCGGACAGCCGGATGCCCAGTGCGCATGCGCGAGAAGCGCTGCGCTTTGTGATTGGTCCGGCGGCTTCTGGGATCTGTCATGTGTCCCAGGTACCGCCTTACCATTCACAAAGAGCACTGCTTCTTGCGCATGCGCACTTGGGACCCGGCTGTCACGCACACTACAGAAGCCGGGAAGACAGCGCGCCGCTGGATAGAGGGACAGGTACGGTCCCACTGCAGAGCTGAGCGGCCGGCCCGGTATTCTGACACGGCGGCGGTGGATATACCGGACTGGCCGCTCTATATTCGCTCCATAAGACGCACTGACATTTTCCCCCCTTTTTTGGGGGAAAAAAAGTGCGTCTTATGGAGCGAAAAATACGGTATTCTCCTGGCGTGCCCACAGATAAGGCTCGGCGTGCCGGCTGTGGCACGCGTGCCACGGGTTCGCCATCACTGGTATATAGAAATCAGGGTTATTAGATATACAGTAGGGTCCGGATAGGAAATAGCACCTGGAATGGAGACTGGGTAGGATAGAACATTCAGCCTGATTAGTATATAGACACCTTAAACTGCAGTGCTGACCTGGGGATTACACACTGACCTGCTGCACACAAGGCAGATTGCCAGATCAGTGACAACTCCACTCTCCAGTGCACTGTCTCCCCACCCCCTCCAGCTCTCCAATTTCGGCACCCGCTGCAGGGATGTGGACCTGCCCCTCTGCTGAATCCCCCAGGAGGAGAGGTGGCCACAGTGCCTGCCACTGCCCCATCCACCATCGCTCTCTGATTCCGGCCAGCATTAGTCCTCTCCGATTGCTGCATGAACCGCAGGCAGGGATGCCATGGCTCACTGCCCCCTCGGGGCTTGCCTAAATCCTCCTTTCTGCATATAAGCTGTGGGCACATCCAGGGGAAGGACTGAGTCTTTCATGTTGCCCTCTACTGGCCCTCAGACAGTGTTCGAGTGCCCGAATGGTTAGTCCGCCCCTGCTCAGCATGCCGCAATTTTGTTTTCATCGAGCAATGGTGCCCAGCTTATATTCTAGCACACAGGCCCACTGATTTCATAGAATGTTCCTTGCCATGTGACATAGTTTTTACAATATATTTAGTGAAACAAATTCATTGAAGCACTAGTACCGTCTTACTTCCTCATCTTGATTCTGCACAGCACCATCTGTTGCGGTCGTTACAACCAGATACGCTGGTTCAGTACTATAAGAAGGCAGGTTACTCAAACACAAACTAATAAAATGGCAGGCAGAAAACTGAAGCCAAATTTACACAAAAAAGAAAAACTGGTCTTGCATTTGTTATATTAGGTAAGAAGTGTAGGAAAATAAAATAAGATTTGCAAAGACTAGTTAAATTAAATGTAACTTGTAGAACACAGGGCTAATTATTCATCACATATAGTGGATGAACAGTTCAATGGGAGAATCAAGAGAGAACAAATATGTGCAGCTGACGGTTTTGGCATTAAAATTAACTTGTCACTTTGCCCTGCATAAGAAAAACATGGGTTCCCTTTACCACAGATTTGGAATAATGAAACCACAGCTGCTCACAATGGAAAGAAATCCTGTAAACGCATACTAACCCCTGGCAGTAAAACACCAGGCAAATATTTAAAGAAGTCCACAAAGCATTAAAATATCATTCAGCCAAAATAATATGTTAGTCATAGATGGAGTCTGATGGGCTAAACCAGCTCCTGGGTTCTCACATGTCTTGGAAAATATAAAAGCAAATCTCCGTTCCATAATCTTTGACTCAATCTCTGTCCAACTAGAGGTATTAAGCATTTCCATCGAAATTTTGTGTTTCATCTCTCAATATGTTATCTATAATATAAAATACATTTAAAACATCCAACAAAGAGAGTGTGGAAGTGTACAGGTCCAAAAAAATGAAAAAAGTCCCCAAGCGGATTAAGAAATTGGTGGTTTAGGTCTCTAGCATCTACCAAAAACCAACTAAAGCTATAGCTTACTTTACACAGAATTTTCAATTAATGCTTCCTGAATTTCCACTTTGATCAGTTTGCATAATATTAATTACTGTTCCCTGGTACACTTCCCTGTTGAGCCAACCATGGATGGATCGAAATTCGGCCAGTTCAGCAGAAACCAGCCGAGATTCGATTCACCTAGGGGCAGGCTGCATGTACTTGAGTCGATGCATTGATCAACTTGAGTACAACTAGCCTGTTTGATTTTTTTTGCATGTGATTATTGCTGGCAGCTATAGCCTCTAGCAGTACATGCTGGCAGAATGCAAAAGCTCTGAGAAAAGGTATTCCCCCAACAATACCAAATGTGTCTATGGAGAAATCAAGCAATTTTCTTCCCTTCCACCAGTGGTGGTAGGATAGAAAATTTCATAATCTATGGACTACTTTAGTCTAAAATCTATTTTGGACTGAGAAGTCTAAATAATGATTGCAAATAAATCACTTGTTCCTTATGATGCAATTGCTGTGTTAGCAGTTATACTGTGATCATAGGGAGTCTGGTCCAAAACCTGTATTACTCCAGTCAATATTATCCTTTCTCTCTGCACATATTATTTTAGGCGACAATACAGTGTTTAAAATAAAAAAAAAAAAAGTAAATAAATTATATATATATATATATATATATATATATATATATACACATGTTTTTAAAATGTTTGAAAAAATTTAAATAACTTAATATTTTTGTCCATTTGTCAGTGTTTATTATTAATAATAATAATAATAATAATAAAAAAAAGATACGCAGGGTATTTATTAGAACATTTACCAAATAAAGACTTCCTTGCCCTTAAAAAGTTTAAAATCTTTTTAGGTAGGTAATCATAGAGTTATTGTCAAGTTAACTGAAACATATTAACTTTCTCTGAATTTGTTCAAGACAACTGTGCATCAATGACCTCTGGTCATGAATGGGTTAATAAACACAAGGAAAATGTGCCCAGTCCATTCATTTTACATGGCTAGCATAAGTAGCTGGACATTGACATCAGCCGTCTGTCATTCCCTGTGCAGCAGCACTAAGACTGGGAGACAAAGTGACAGCATTAGAAGCTAATCAAGATAAATAGCTACCAGTTTATAGGAAAAGATTTTGAAATTCATTGGAGAACTTTGATTTAAAAGTGTCAGTTCACATTCAATATTTCCTCAAAGCAACAGATTTGCAGAACGTAGTGTAAAAATTGTTAAACATTCAAAGCTGAGCATAGCTGTCAATGGAGACCAAGATACTAAAATGCCTCTCTTATACTACAGAGCAACATCAATGAAAATGGAAAATGTCCAGCTCCTGGCAACACACATTAAAAATAAAATTACCGATAATGTAACTACAGACCTGTCACAATTATGAATATAGTGTATAATTATTGATCCATAGGACACACAAAACACCAGGACATGAATACAGGACATGTTAACGCGTGTCACACGATCTTCTTAGATACACACAATATAGCTGGATACTAACATTTATAGGTAAAGTTGATCCAGGGAATATCCAATTGCCTCTCGGGGGCTCAGGAAGGAATTTTTTTCCCTGCAGGAGCATATTAGATCATGCTTTGCTGGGTTTTTTTGCCTTCCTCTGGATCAACTGTGGGTATAGGATTACAACTTTTTTTTTTTTTTTAATGGTTGAACTGGATGGACTTTTGTCTTTTTTTCAGCCAGACTAAGTATGTAACTATGTAACCATTTGCTGTCCGGGGCAATTTTTTATAATTTTCACACACATGTTAAAATCAGAATTTTTTGCTAGAAATTTTTTTTTCTGAAAGCACAATGCTGGCTGTTGCAATTTTTTATGTCACTTGATATTTGCTCAGCCATTTATCAAATGCATTTTCTCCTCTTTTCAGGTCCCCCCTGGTGCTCCGGGTCCCTCCCTCCTGTCCCCATAGCAAGCGAGCCACTGCTCTGTGTTTCCTTTCACACACAAAGCACGACTTAGCCCGCTCCCGCTCTCTCCTCATTGGCTCACTCGCTTTGATTGACAGTAGTGGGAGCCAATGACTACCACTGCTGTCTCAGCCAATGAGGAGGGAGAGTCCCAGAAGAGCTGAGTCTCTTTAGCATATCGCTTGATTGTGATGGAGCTCAGGTATGTTTTAGGGGGCTGCTGCACACAGGAGGTTGTAAACCTTGAGCCTTTACAACCACTTTAATTTTAGTGCACACAAATTCAATATAATACACAATTTTTGGTGATACATAAAATATGGGGTTGTTTTGAATAAATAGATACCAAACATATTAAGACCCATAATTGCACTTGTACATGAAATAGCAAAAAAATATGGTACCTAACATTTTTCATACATGATGCTTTAAAAGTCTTTAAAGGTTATCAGTTAAGAGTTAATCATGAATTATGGCCCTAGAATTATTGCTCTAAATCCAACATTTCCAGCAGTATCTCACAGTTGTGATGCAGTTACTGTTTCCTGTATATACACACACGTGAAACCATATGCGCATTTTAATTTTGCATGTATGCATGGGGAATGGGAATGCTTTTAAATTGTTGTATTATTTTATTTATTTTATTAAAATATAATTCTTTTATATACTTTTG